CAGGACATCTCTGCTCTGAGAGAGTCATCACCTGAGGAGGGAGTGAACAACAACAAATCAAACATGTTATTAGTTTAGAGAGGAAACAAAGTCAAACTAGATTTGCATGTCAAGCTACCCCTCGACTCACCCAAATCCAACAAATCCCACACAGAGTGCATCATAAGCTGCTTTCTATCCCCACTCCTCCTTTTATACTGTGTCTGACTTAATCACCATCATATCTGTCTTTGATGCCTGCTCTGATCTGTGCTGGAGTCCAGCTGCTGCTTCCACAACAAAAACAAAACACCAAATATAAATTATATTCAGTAAAAATAAAACAAATCTTACATGATGAATCCAAGTCATCCTCTCTGTTGACAAACTTCAGGGTGGTGTCTAGAGGGTCGTATTTCTTCTCCACCTGATCCTGTCCACAAATGCTCATTTTGGGAATCCAGCACTACAAATACTGTAACATAAGATTTATATTAACATGTCAGCCTGCATACAGACCAAAAATGATGACTGTCATTCTCACAAGATAGGAGTTTGGACTGAAAGGAGGATAAATGCTGCCTGATACACTGCTTCAGTGTGCTGATGGTTCACCTTTTCAAGACGGAAATGAACCAACGCATAAAAAACTAGAGATTTACACCCTACAACCTCAAACTGCTGTCAAATTAAAATAGGAGTCTCAGATTTCAGTTTTTGTTTACATGCAAATATTTCTTAAACAAAAAACAAATAAAAAATGATTTTAAGTTATTTGCTGTTGAATAATGAGTAGTTTTAGTGATTCAAATTGCAAGCACTTTACAGCACCAGAATAAGTGCAGAGCCTTTATGAAGAGGAAAAGTACAATTTGACTTGTTTTTATAAACTTTATTTGCTTTTGAAGATGCATTTATGTTATCTGTGGTTGGTGTCACTGTATGGTCTTCTTAGTGTCTTTCTTGGACTGAATACCGTGAATGTTTGTTAATGTCTTCTTGCATCAGTCCAGGTTTTTGAAGCAGTTTGCACACTGCTAGAAAAGATTCAGTGTATTCATTGTCTCTGTTTCACTCCCAGATGAAGGCTTGTGTGCTGAGTTTCAGTTAAATAACCAT